TGGTTCTAAGGCATCCACTAACTCACAGATGTATGACCTTCCACTGAGCAGTATAATCATCCAGTGAACATAAGATACACAGGAAGATGTTGAAGAAATGAGTATTAAACTCATAAAACAGCTGGCAAGACTCCACTTATGAAAAACTCTTGATGTGTAAGTGTATCTTTGTGAAACAAAATGCCTCTCCCATTCTGACAATGAAAAATTTTAAAAGCCAGATATCTTTCTGCTCTGTGACTTTCCAAGCTTGTTAGAGAAATATATTATTTAAAATGGCCTGGAGCTATGCTGCTACAAACACAGTAAGGGTCCTGAAAGAAAGGGTTTGAAAGGGTTCTGAAAGAAAGCCCTTTCATTTAAGGAAAAGAAAAAGCTGTAGTTAGAAAGGCAATCAATACTTATTACTCTACCTTCTTTCTTGTAAAACATAGTCTCTGTCATTACTTCCTAAAATAGCAAAATATTTTGATTATCAGCAACAAATTCAAATGCATAGTTAATACATTTTCTCATAATCTGATAATTTCACTATGTCAAGACAGAGAGTGTTTTACCCATGTTATTTAATAATTTTGACCTTTTTGCAATAAGACATTTGTTTTGCAAAAACTATAAAACTAAAACAATCTGAAAAATACAAATGTTTGTCCATGTGGCTATGAGAACAAGAGACTAGGATTATAGTCAACTGAATTCAAAATCTGACCGTTAGGTCCATCACCCATAAAAACGTTTTCCCATCCTTCAAGAGCATTAATCACACGGTAACAAAGGGGTGGCCAGGCTTACTTATATCAACTTTCTTGCTAGACTGAGTTAAACCTAAGATACCTATTGATTTCTCTATAATTAAAGCTTTAATTATTATTAACTTAGTTAAAACAGTATATTGCCTAGCCAGAGTGATAAGCTCAAGTGTTTGGGGGCACAAATGAAGCTTAATTTTGCATAGGAAAAGAGTGCTCTTCAGCAAAAGATTACGTCCCAAGTTTCAGCAAAGTGTCTTGCACAACTTTGATCAAAAGGCCAATTACCAGCACCTCTACCATGGCTTCAAGGTATAGGTGGTAGAGATCAGGAGAACAAAAGGGTTGGATTGGATTTCTATTTAAGGAACCTAACAAGCTTAAAAATAAAATATAATGTGTGTTCTTCCATTTGGTAGGAAACCACTTTCCCCTACACCGAAAATAAAACTTTATATGGTACACTGTAACTTTAGAATGTTTTTAGAGTCTTGAAAATACTTTTTCTGCAGAACTAGAAAAAGATATTGTGTTGGCCAAAAAGTTCGTTTGGGTTGTTCCAAACCATCTATAGAAAAATACGAACGAACTTTTTGGCCAACCTAATACATAAGAGCATCAAATGCTGCTTTGGTCTTGTTACTATAAGAACTACTTTAAAGAATCTTGGTGACCATAGCAGATGATAACAGAAAATCTTAGAAGTTTATAAGATTTAAAGTTGAATAAAATAAAAATATAAATTGTTCCATCTATCCTTTATCATTCCAGAAAACAAAATTAAAATATATTATTAGCTAAAATTCATATTTTACCAACATATGCACACATTATTAATATTTTAATTCACATAAACAAAGAGAAACTAATAACCTCCAATTTATGTTAATCTCATTTAATTAAGAAAGCTCTTCCTTCCCCTTGGTTCGCACCAGTGTAACTAGTCCAAAATTAACTTCATTAATAGGAAAAGTCACTTCTTCCAGCAAGGAAAAGAAAAGCCTAAGCTTTGACCTTGGACAGCTATTAGTTACAAAGAAAAATTAGAAAATAGCATACCCCAAATATGTTTTACTGAAAGCATGCAAATTTATTACTGAGACCCTAAACAATATTCCATTCTATATGAATATACAAATTAAATGTTATTTGCATTCTCAGAATTGTAACAGACAACAGTTAGCTCAACTGAGTAAAATTTGTATATGCTCATTTTTGCTAAACAATTAAGTCATGGCAAGCCCATTTAAAACAAATATATCCCAAGACACCTATATGTCAACAGAAAAGACCAATATTTCTCAACTAAAGTGAATAACATTAAGATACTATACATAGAAAATCCTAAAAATTCTGCCAGAAAACTACTAGAGTTCATCAATGAATTTGGTAAAGTTGCGGGATTCACAATTAATACACAGAAATTTCTTGCATTCCTATACACTAACAATGAGAGATCAGAAAGATAAATTAAGGAAACAATCCCATTTACCACTGCATCAAAAATAATAAAATACAGTAAGTCCCCTACATATGCACCTTCAAGCTGCAAACTTTCAAAGATGCGAATGTGTATCTGGTTCCAGCAAGGAACCAGAAACTGTGCCACCAATGTCAGGTGTAAATGAAATTGCAGCTTGCCCTCCACCTCCTATTGCTAATGATCCTTCAGCTGTATCATCTCCCACCTCTTCTCCCTCCTCCAGTCAGTAATTCTTGCCTGTTCACCTGATGCCAGCCCCTCTAATGCCAGCTGTTATACTGTACTACTGTATTTTTCAAGGTACTGTACTGTAAGATTAACAATGTTTTCTTTATTGTTTGTGTTTGTTTTTTATATGTTATTTGTGTGAAAAGTATTATAAACCTATTACAGTACAGTACTATATAGACGATTGTGTTAGTTGGGCACCTAGACTAACTTCGTTGGACTTACGAACAAATTGGACTTACGAAAGCACTCTTGGAACGGGACTTGTTCATATGTAGGGGACTTACTGTACCTAGGAATAAACCTACCTAAGGAGACAAAAGACCTGTACTGTGAAAACTATAACATACTGATGAAAGAAATCGAAGATGACACAAACAGATGGAATGATACACCCTGTTCCGGGATTGGAAGAATCAATACTGTCAAAATGACTACACTACCCAAGGCAAACTACAGATTCAATGCAATCCCTATCAAATTACCAATGGCATTTTTCACAGAACAAAGAACAAAAATTTTTACGTTTGTATGGAAAGACAAAAGACCCCAAATAGCTAAAGCAATCCTGAGGGAAAAATATGGAGCTGGAGGAATCAGGATCCCTGACTTCAGACTATACTACAAAGCTACAATCATAAAAACAGTATGGTACTGGCACAAAAACAGACATATAGATCAATGGAACAGGATAAAAAGCCCAGAAATAAATCCACTCACTTATGGTCTATTAATCTATGACAAAGGAGGCAAAAATACACATTGGAGAAAAGACAGTCTCTTCAATAAGTGGTGCTGGGAAAACTGGAAAGCTACATGTAAAAGAATGAAATTAGAACACTCCCTAACACCATACACAAAAATAAATTCAAAATGGATTAAAGACCTAAATGTAAGGCCAGATATTATAAAACTCTTAGAGGAAAACATAGGCAGAACACTCTCTGACATAAATCGCATCAATATCTTTTTGGATCCACCTCCTGGAATAATGAAACTAAAATCAAAAATAAAGAAATGGGACCTAATTAAACTTAAAAGCTTCTGAACAGCAAAGGAAACCATAAACAAAACAAAAAGACAACCCACAAAATGGGAGAAAATATTTGCAAACAAAGTGACCAACAAGAAATTATTCTCCAAAATATATAAACAGCTCATGCAGCTCGGTAAAAATAAAACAAACAACCTAATCAAAAAATGGGCAGAAGATCTAAATAGACATTTCTCCAAAGAAGACACACATGGCCAAAAAAGCACATAAAAAGATGCTCAACCTCACTAATTATCAGAGAAATGCAAATCAAAACTATAACGACATATCACCTCACACCTGTCAGAATGGCCATCATCAAAAGTCTACAAACAATAAATTCTGGAGAGGGTGTGGAGAAAAGAGAACCCTCCTACACTGTTGGTTGGAATGTAAACTGGTACAACCACTATGGAGGACAGTATGGAGGTTCCTTAACAAACTAAAAAAAAATAAAACTACCATATGATCTAGCAATCCCACTCCTGGGCATATATCCACAGAAAACCATGATTTGAAAGGATACATATACCCCAATGTTCATTGCAGCACTATTTATAATAGGCAAGACATGGAAACAACCTAAATGTCCATCAACAGATGAATGGATAAAGATGATGTGGTGCATACACACAATGGAATATAGCCACAAAAAAGAATGAAATAATGTCATTTGTAGCAACATGGATGGACCTAGAGACTATCATACTAAGTGAAGTAAGTCAGACAAAGACAAATATCATATGATATCACTCATATGTGGAGCCTAATTTAAAAAATGATACAAATAAACTTATTTGCAAAACAGAAACAGACTCACTGATTTCAAAAACAAATTTATGGTTACCAAAGGTGAAATGTGGGAGGGAGGGATAAATTAGGAGCTTGGGATTAACATACACACACACTACTATATCTAAAATACATAACCAACAAGGACCTACTGTATAGCACAGGGAACTCTATTCAATATTGTGTAATAACGTACATGGGTAAAGATCCTGAAAAAGAATGAATATATGTATATGTATAACTGAATCACTTTGCTGTACACCTGAAACTAACAGAACACTGTAAATCAACTATACTCCAGTAAAATTTAAAAAATAAATAACATTAAAATGAGGTATTTCGATTAATTTAAAACCAAATACAGTTTCCAATAGCAGACAGTACAAAACATAACATCACCCCTCATATGAACTATAAAATCTCAAACTTTTGGATTATTTATTTCTTCAAATTATAGGCTCTTTATTGTCAAATTCAGAATTCTTTGATATTTTCTTAAAACAGATGAAATTTGCTTTCTTCCCTTAGGGAAATGCCAGACTACAGTATATCTGAGAAATACCATTAAATTACTTTAATTACTTCATGTTGACTTGATAAGTCACTGCTTTTTAATGCAAAAACTGCCACTTGTAATTAATGACTCTTCGTACTGCTTCAATTGATCAAATGTCTAATACACATAAAACATTGAAAGAAATTCTGTATATCTTACAGCAATTCGGTGGCGAAGTCTTGTCCCAGGGGTATGTAAATCTGAAGTACAAGAAACCTCTGGATCAGTCCAACTAAAACGAGAGGGGGAAAATATACATTTATATGTCCAAACCAGTTATATGTACATATAAACAATCACATGTCATCAACAAGCTGAAGCTTTTATCATTTCAGTAATACACAGAACTGCAACAGGACTACCCCTGAGTCACAACCTCATTATAAAAGCAAAAAAAATGATGAACTCAAATCAAACTCTAACAACAAATGCTGTCTTTTAAAGTTGCATCTGTGGGCTTGGTGAAATTTTTATGAAAATTTACAAAATAACAATTTTTTTATTTACTATTTTTATTAGGTTGCAAGAAAGTACACATATTCAATAGACACATATAAAATTGAACTATGGACTCATTAAGGTAGTCATAAAAGCATGTGGCAATTATCTTTATTCACTGACAATTTTAACTGTACTTAACAACTTAACGAAAAACAATAGATCAAAAAAACAGTTCTAATTATGACAACTGCAGCTGAAGGTTTGATGAGCCATATCTAGTTCATACGGTTTTAAATGTGTCTAAAATGAGATGGATGAACATATTTTCAGTTATAATACCTTTTGTTAATTTAACACATTTCTGATTAATTTAATGCTCACAAATTAAGACCTGATAGTTTTTATTCCCCATCACCAGCTTCACCTGGATTAAAAAAACATTTGGATAAAGACCTATGGTACTTTTGATAACTGAAGTCTACAACTGCTTCAAAAATCAACTGATTTCATATTACCTCTTCAGACCCATTCACTTAATTCCCTTCCTCTTAGCTTTTGAACTTTTGCTTGATCTCTCAATTATGATGCTCTTAATGAACGTTTTAGTATCACTTCCTCCTAAAACATGACTTCTAGGAACTTTTTTCCCAATGTGAAACACTGGGTAGGAAATGGAAATGTCGATATATCTGTGAACCTCTCCTACAAATCTAACAGTACAGGCCAATATGTGGAGAAAGGCCTCAAGGAAGGCAACCAGTCTACCATGCACGTTATTTTCTGTTTATTCCAACTTAGTAGACTTAACAAATTTAAGTCTTTTAAAGTAACAGTACATGTTTGGGTAGTCTATATATAAAGATCTTCTGGTTTAGAATTCCTATGGTAAAATGTTTTACAACATTCCTGAACAACTTAAACAGTTCCTATATTTTACCCCAAATCTAGTTTCTAAACAAAACCATATTTGACCGAATGTGCTTAACATTTTAAAAATCAAACATACAAAGGTAACTTTTACTTAAAATACTAAGCTTATAAACGGCTGCAAAGAGTCATCAGCAAAGTAAGTAACATAATGGAAATAGGGGTAACAGCCTCTGAACTTAGAAAACTCTCTAGGAATCAGATTCTACCATATTTATGGGAAAAGCCAACAAGACACCCAGAGTTCTGGATTACAAAACCAAAATGAGATACCAAAATGAGGCCAACTTAAATAAACCACCATTAATCAATCTATCTCTCTCTTGCATCTTCCATTGATTGGACCTACAGTATTTTTCCATTGCACAAAGGCCCCCATAAATAGAGCTGAGAGAGCACTGGGATAAATGAAATCACTCTTTACAAAAGGTCCCTAATTTATGTCACAAATCTCACTGAATCAGCACTGTTCTCTTCAAACACAAAGAGCTACACATATAGGGCATTTTTGTATGAACACTTTTAGATATGAAAGATGTTTGCCCCCCAAAAGAGAGCTTTGTAACTCAACTCTCTCACGTATAGAAGCCCTGGTTTCCAAAAGGCTTTACTTCTAAGATTAAAATAAGTACAATACCATATGGTGATCATCTGACAAAGAAAAAAGTACATTAATAACATTTGACATACACTGATCCTGTGTGTCAGAAATGCTAAATAAACTCCACAGTAACATTTTTTTCCCAGTGGCCTAGCAAATATAAACTGACTCCTCATGTCTACATTATATTTAAAATCTGAATTTAAAATCTACATTTAAAATGCTGAATGTGGAACTATTGTTAGTCAAAAACGCCCATCAAGTACATAAAATTCATAAAAATTCACTCTTTTTACTGAAATATCCAGGTTTCTGCAGTTTTATAATCTGTTCTCTGCCTTAGACAAAAACTACCTCTATGTTTTAAGGGGTCAGACCCTTTCTTCTTTTGAATATTTTAAGACACATTTATCTGGTAAAACACCATTAGATTTTTAAAGTGTTTTTTTTTTTTTTTTTTTTTTTTTTTTTTTGCTGTACGCGGGCCTCTCACTGTTGTGGCCTCTCCCGTTGCAGAGCACAGGCTCCGGATGCGCAGGCTCAGCGGCCATGGCTCCCGGGCCCAGCCGCTCCGCGGCATGTGGGATCTTCCCGGACCGGGGCACGAACCCGTATCCCCTGCATTGGCAGGCGGACTCTTAACCACTGCGCCACCAGGGAAGCCCTTAAAGTGTTTTTTACAGTTGTTTCATTACAGCAAATGACAGTTGTATATATACCTCAATATACATTTTGCAAGTGTTACACTGTCCAAAGAGTTGGGACTAGACCACAGTACAGTAATTCTTTATAAGTGACCTGATAAATCATGACTGAAGATATTTCCTGGTTCTATCGCAGCCCTAGCACAAACAGCACACTAAAGTGCAGCTTTCCCACTGCAACACAGAGAACAATTATCCCTTCATTATGGGTTATTCCATATACCTTGGGCAAATCAGAAAACCTGTTTGGGTCTTTTTATTCTTCATGTGTAAAACTGAGTTGATAATTTAGGTTTACCTCTCACAGAATCATTTGTGTAGATTAAATTAGATCTATCATTTAATAAAGATTCACTGAACATATACTATATGCAAGACTCAGTGTTGAAGCTTTTGTAGTGAATAAGACAGGCATGGTCTTATTCTAGTAGCCTCTTAGAACTTATATACTAGTTCCATGAAGGAGAAGGTCAGGGTGCTATGAAAGCATATAATCCTGGGTCCTTGAGAGGAAGAGGACGATGAGTGAAGGTTTTCTTGAAGAAGTAACATTGGAATTCAGCTGGGAAGAATAGCAGGGATTGACTGGGCAAGGAAGATAGGGGTAGAGGAGAGGAATAAATACTGCAGGGAGAGGAAATACTCCATCGTGTGATGGAAGAGGCTATAGTAGATTGCATGAACTTAAAGGCCTAAAGGACTGGTAGAGACAGAAGGGGAAAAGTAGCAGGGGATAAGTCTGGCAAATAGCCAGGAACTCAATTACGCGGGGCCTTGAAAGCCATGTGAAGGATACAGGTCATCCTAAAATCAATGGGAAGCCACTCATCCATTCACTCATTTACTCAACAAAGATTTACTGAATGTCTACTATGTGCCAGGCACTCTTCTAGGTGAACAAAATAGACTAAATTTTTGTGCTGGTAGGCCTTAGTTTCTGGTGGTGATGAAAAAACAATAAAAGAACATAAACAGCATGTTAAATGGTGATAATTACTATAGGAAAAGGGAGAGCAGGGTAAAGGGGATTAAGAATGGGGAAAGGATACAAAGCACAGGTTGTAATTTAAGTATAGGTCAGGATGGGTCCTCACTGAGAAGGTGACATTTTATTTGGTAAAGGCCTGAAGAAGGGGAGAGAGTGAGCCATGTAGCTATTTGGGGAACAAAAGCCCTAGGTAGAGGGTACGGCTTGTGCACAAGGGCTAAGGTGCTAGGGTACCAGGCTATGGTTGAAAAGAGCAAGGAGACCTGTATGGTTTGAGCAGAGTGAAAAAGGAAATAGTAATAGGAGGTAGAGTTAAAGTTAAGTAAAGAGAGTTAAGAGGGCAGCAGATACCACAGGGTCCTAAAGATTTTGGGGTTTTACCCTTAGAGAGATGGAGTATTTTCAGCAGAATCACTCTGGCTGATAAGTTGACAACAGACTGTAGGGAGGCAAGTCAGAAACAGGGAGACTAATTAGAAGACTACTGCAATAATCCAAGCATGAGATAATGGTGGCTTGGACCAGGGTGGTAGCAGGGAGGTGGCAAGAAGTAGTCAGACTCTAAATCTAATTTAAAGATAGAGCCAATAAGATTTTCTAGATGAAAAAAAGGAAAAATCAAGCTGATTTAAGAGTTTTTGGTCTGAGCAACTGAAAGACAAATTGCTAACAACTGAGATGGGGCAGTCTGCAGGAGGAGGAAGAAAAATTTCTAGGGTAAAGCTGTCCAAGTATAAATGTCAACTAAGCAACTGAATATACAAATCTGGAGTTTGGGACACAAGTCAGAGGTGGAAATGTAAGCTAGTATACAACAGAGATGATATTTAAAGCCATGAGACTAGAGCCCAAAACCAAAGGAGTAAATGTAGTTCAAGGTCAAGAAGGTCAAGGACTGAGTCCAGAGGCATTGCAGCATTAAGTTGTGTTGGGGAGAAGAGGAAGAACCATGAAAGGAGACTAAGAAGAAAGACCAGCCAAGTAGGAGGAAAAATCTATGAGTATGGGCATCCTGGAAGATGAGTGAAGAAAGTACTATATCAAGGAGGACTGTGTCACCTTTGTCAATGCTGCTGTTAAGTTAAGCAAGATGAGGGCTGAAAACTGGCCATTGGATTCAGGAACAGAGAGAGAACTAGTGACTGTGACAAGCGCAGTATCAGCAGAATAGTGAAGTCAAAGTCACTAAAGGGTTTTAGAAAGAGGAAGTCATAATGAGTTTATTTAAAAAAAAAAAATACCAAAAGTTGGGGCAGGGGGAGGCTGAGAGGAACCTCATAAAGATGACCTCATCCACCAGAGCAGCTGAAACTTAGATCAACACAGGGCTTCAGGGATGCTGATCCCGACAGACACACCATTTGATTCAGATGCCACAGGCAGAGAAAACAATGGTTTCAAACATGAGCCTCAAACAGAAAGTCCCCAGACAGACCATCCAAATGATAGATGTTTACATGTAACAGAGCTTCTTCTCATTATGGGCAACTCTATATAACATGTTCCAGCATTAATAGCAACTGGCATTAATAGCAACTGGCTAATGATTTACAAGTCTCATTATCAAGGCCAAATGGTTACCAGAAGAAATTATAACCTAAAATGTTAAAGTTTCTTAGTATGGCAAGTTTAACAAAATTACTAAACACCAACTATATATGACACACTAAGTTAGGGGTACAAAGTAGATGATGCAAGAGTCCTGCCCTGGAGAAGTACACAATCTGATAATCAATATCACACCTTCCTTTATTTGATCAGATGCTGAGTTTAAAAAAAAACTTTGCCATATTTAGAGATGCTCAAATATAATTCAGAAATATTGCTATTTCAAGTGAAAAGTTAAAAATACTGAATTTCACTATTAGACTTTCTTCACATGTACTTAATATAGTAGGAAACACATACAAGGTACCTAATGTCAAGTTGGCATAAATAAAGTGGATGTTTACTCTTAAAATAGGAATACATAATGGTAATTGAACTTAATTTAGAAATGTTAACAGAAAGCCAATTCTCTATTCAAGGCATGCCATTAAATTTAAATTTAACGATAACAATGTCACATAGAAGGTCATTTTATACAAGTGAAAATAACTATAAATTCCCATTGTCAAAAATTCCAAATAATCTTAAAAACATTGGTGCAGGACAGACTATATAAACTGTTTCATTTGTTACAGGGCTGCACATGTTACTGAAAAGCCAGATTAATTTTTAATTACAGGGCATTGTGCAAGAAATACATTACAAGATTCTTCCCTTTCTTCCAGTTAAAACTATCATCTTTCCATTTTTAAAAAGCAATTATAACACATTAAATTTGTTTTATTTCTAAAAAGAAACTTAGATAAAAGTGGGAAAGGGGAGCTTGTCTTTAATCACTGAGCATTTGGTAGAGGAGAAACTCTTTCTCAGAGCCAACTGAGAAACATTATTAGAAGTGATTTGATTTTGTCAATAACATCATCATATGCATAGATGCTGAAGGCATCATGTGGAAGGAGGGGCCAACAGTAAGAAAAAACAAAAGAACACTGGTTTAGAATAAAGTTATGTTCCTGTAAATCAAATGTGTCTATTTTACAAAGTCAACATTCTTAAAAAAGACAGACCATGTTTCCTGTTAAAGAATAACCTCCAGTTTCAGACATGTTTCCATGGCTCATCTTAGTTCACTTTATTTATCAGTACAAATTTATGCAGAAATGACAAAAATCTTTGCTATTAAAAAATGCAAACTATGAGGAAATCATGATTTTAAAACGGTAGTAAATTTTATAAAATTATTTTAACAGTGATTACCCCTTCTTTTTGAGGTTCTGTTTCTTATTTTATTTAGAAAGATACCACTTTAAAATAAATCATCTTCCATCTATAATTTCTATGGTTTGGTTTATGTCTTAGAAATCTAAAATATGCATGTAGTAGCTTGAAATAGCAGATAAAACACACAGTCTATAAAAGTTTAGAAAACCGAATTAAAATGAGAAAATCAGATACCAAGAATAGGTCTTTTCATAGTCCCTGGTACACAACAGGTATTCAATAAATGTTCTTAATGAATGAAGAAGTAAAGAATGATTGTAAAAAAACAGGTGGTTACCTACATTTGCTAAGTCACAATAGTTAAATATTGGATACAGTTAATGAAAATATGATTAAGCATTTTGATAAATTATATTTCTTAAATCACATCAGTGTACACAAAGCCTAATTTGGTGGCAGAGGCTTGAATTTTAACCCCAGTGTGGCCAATAACTGGGCTTCTGATCATAAATTTAGGTTATCTCTCAGGGTTCCTTCTGCTTTAAACCTCTGATCCTCATTTCCAAAGTAGATAAGAATTGAGGTCTATTTTGGGGGTTTTTGTTAAATCACATATTCATATCTTTACTCATTAGATACTAATATTTCTAAAGGTATATAAGTTGATATCTTACTAAATAATGCCTTATATAGTATTTTACATAAATTTTTTTCTCACAAATTGATTTACAATAATTTAGGAACTCATGGTCTCTTGATGAGGAACCAACCTCAGTGTGTTCATCTGTAAAAGAGCTATTGTGAGGATTGAAAAAATTAAAAAATATGAAATGCTTAGAAAGTCATTGGCACACAGTAAGTGCTTAATAAATATCATTACTAGTCTAATTAATTGAATAATCTTCTAAATCTTCTTTAACATATAAGTAAATTTCTAATAAACAATAAAGCAGAATCTCTTTTCAAAAGCCTGGCATAAAGTTACTCTCTAAATTAAAAAAAATCTTATTACTTTACATCGACAGATGCCAGTAAAAGTCAAACTAATAGGCCTGTTTATGAGACTTAAAAGTGTAATGTTAAGCATCAAATGTTAAGCTTCAATATTAAAAGTCTTACTTACGGATTTGCTTATTCTCCTTTGGTAATTGAATTTTATTTGTTTGGCTGCTGCCTTCCAGGACAAACACAAAACTTTTAACTTCTTTATCAAATTCCTACAGAACAAAAATGAAAACAGTGGTTACTGCATATTTTATTTGACTTGTATTATAAAATTGGAGAAGCAAGCCCACAGAAAAAGCCCTACACTGAAATGACTTAAAATAAGCTCAGGCCTTGATGATACTCTTACACTGAGACTTGCTGGGAACTGGAATATAGAAGCCACCCTTAGCCACTTGGCAAATTCTCTACTATATCAAGATACTCTTCCTCTAGATGATAAAAAGTTCTCCAACTTCAGGGATTCCCAAGTTACTAATTTAAAGTTTCCAGAGTTTAGTTACCCTTTCCCTCCTTTAACCTATGTATTTCTGTCTAATAGCATAGGCTGAACATCACTTTCTGTTAACAGTACAATAAACCATCTAATCTATGTTGTATCTAGTTTGGAAGTTCCTTGGTTTCAAGCCATGGCTCATATAGAATTAATCAGTGCCTTATTTTACTAGTCTTCTAACTTGAAGTTCTATACATCATTTACTTAAAATCAGTACAAATTAAAGAGTTACAACTAAGGTTACCTAAAAAATGAACAGAAACAAAACAAGCTTGGAAATGAAAAACTTACACATGAGAGTCTAATTTCCATCAGTCAAAGTGCTAATGTAAATGGTTATTTTTTTATCTTGGAGCAAATCTCCAATCTTTAAGTATAAAGACTCCTTTTTCACAATAAAATATTTCATAGATCCTCCCACTCTTCCTTTTTGTATATGTTAAGAAATACATTGTAACTAATGGCTGCTAAGAATTAACATTTAAATAAAACTGTATCATATCCATCACAATAGCATCTCTTATGTCTTCCAAATGAACACACACATCGAGTGTATTATTTCATCTACACACAAGCTGGGCATATACTAAAACCTTTCAACAGCTTACCAAAATCTTGAGCACGGCCACAAATCCTTGTGTAAGCCTAGCCCCTGCCCAGTTTTTCAAACCTCATCTCCTGCCTCGCACTCTCCCTCACTCTGAATCCTAGCCTCTGTAGCCTTCTAGCAGTTTCTTAAAAATTCTAAGCTCCTCCAAAGCAAGGACTTTGTACCTGCTTTTCTCATTGCCTGAAATGTGCTTCTCTCTACCAGCTCCACCTGGTGCCTAGTTAGTTCTCAGAGATCAAGTATCATTTCCTCAGGGAAGCCTTACCTAATCTCTCTGCTCTGTATCCACACAGCCACATTTAACTTTTATTCATAGTAAGAGCTATATAATTTTGATCAAGTCACTTAACCTTACTATGCCTATAATATAGGCATAAGGGTACCTTGTGAGATACAAGGTTATTGTATGGATTATATAACATGTAATGTGCTGAATCCTATGGCTGGCAAATAGTAAGCACTCAATTAAGAGTAGTTTAAAAAAAAAACTATCCATAGAACAAAGTCCCTAGAAAGGTGTTTTTCTCTCAACTGTACAAGAGAGAAGAGGAAGAGGAAAGAACAGGGAAGGATACAGATTTTTAGATCTGGTAGCAGCAAGATGAGGTAGTTTCTACCTGCGACATCAGTTTTCCCTGTGAAACAGGGGTGAGGTCTTCTGGTGAATGAGTGAGGAGGGTCTGTCCTGGGTGTGGGATGGGGATGGGGGTAAGAAGTTAATGGCTGGAAAACTGAAGATAATGGAGAAAGAACCATTTTAGAGAACAAGAGAACAGGAGAACTTCCGGGGCTGTTGACACTGAATTTATAGCATTATCGATCTGAGAGACTATAGCTATTTTCCCAAAGGTACTGAGAAGCCCAGATGCAGGCACAGAAAAGAGAGAGTCAGGGATTCAGAAATGGTTGGCGTTTGCTAGGCAGGCATAATGAAAGGACAAGGAACAGGGGCATTCGAGGTCTTGACTGGGAAGTGACTGAAATAATGGACCATGGATTCTGGGCTGGAGAGAAAAGAAAGTGAAGACAGGGTGAGTGAGTAAGTAGGTTAACTAAGTAAGTAAATAAATCTAAACACAGGGAGAAAAGTAGAATGGTCAATGGCCTAAGAGTCTCAATTAGGTTGAAGAAAAAATGCAGTGGGAGTAACTAGGCAGGCAACATTAAGAATCGAAGACTGGACCCAGAGAGGGATGTCTCAAGTTCTCACTTGGTAACTTCAGAGGCCCTGCAATTTTCGGTGATAAGGTACAAGGTTTGACAGTGGGAAAGGCTGCTGAAGTAGAGTGGAAGACGTCATCAGAGATGAAGAAATCAAGAAGCTGAGAAGCCCAGGGTTTGGAGACTTTTCCTCACAGAAACTCAAGTCACCTAAAACAGCAGCAGGACTTGGCATATAGAGATGGGTTATGAGCTGTGTGCCAAGGTCTTCAATGGCCAAGGAGGGGTGTCTGTGAGGGCTGCAGCCAATGATATCATGAAAGGGTTTTGAAGTGAATGAACAGAAAAACCGGTTCTGAAATCTTACCAAGCCCTTCTTGTTATAATCTTTACTCTCATTTCTTTCCAGGATTTAGGTCGCTCTAATTTCTAACACTTACTTTCCAAATCACAGATGGACTGCCAAGGATCTTCCATTTTGCTCCAGGATTTTTTCCCTGAGCACTGAAGATTTCAACAAATGCACCTCCCTAGGAAAAAAAAATATTAAAAATTAAAGTGAAAAACAATGCTAAGGAGGAAATACTATCCACCACATAGTCTATACCCACTGTTCCAGGCATCTGTAAGTTAAGTACATCTGAGAGGAAACATTATCCCTCTTATCACTCCTACTTTATATCTTGATTGTATCTAAGCAACAACTGCTCTGATTCAGGTCACCTTGAATTAATGGTTTAAGAAATGTTTTTAAAAGCATGATAAACATTAAATAAACTCCATGCCATACAAACCTTACAGTCTCTCAGTGTAAGGTTCAGTTACTTCACATGTATAGTTCATGCTTACAAAATATTCTATTCAGCACACACTAAAGGGTTTAAACTCAACTCTCAAGGCAGGCTAATAAAATCTGATAGTTATCTCTGGCTACAAGCTTTTTAGTTACACTAACCTGAGCTCCAGTACCAGGTTTGCCATTTATTAACTACCTAACTTTGGAGTTACTTAACCTCTTGATTTTCTATCTGTAAAATGGGTTGTTAGATTACATAGGATAATAAACATAAACCATCACACTCAATGAAGTGTGATGCACAAAGCAAGGGCTCATTAGTACCAGCAATGATTATTCAAAACAAGGGCAAACTGGATAGTTTAGTACTGGGTCAATAAAAGAAGCTTGGACTTGGAGAGGGAGTGATTCTTATTTTGAGGATTCCTATAAGATCTTTTTATATATTTAATACAAATTAATTTGTATTAATTTATAAAATCTATAAAATCTATACCAAATTTATATCTATAAAATATATACCAAATTTATATCTATAAAATATGTACCAAAAAAATAGAGAATAATTTCCATAGACATGCTAAGTGTTCCCTATTGTAAACCTGGGAACATGGAGGGACATGCTCTTGTAAAAACACTAAACACATTACTGAGTGTCCATAAGCTTTAATTATAAGACAGGAATTAAAGATGATTGTCTCTAAGGAAGAGTTTATTGCAAGAAACTGAAAACCTGAAATGAGAGTAAATATGGTTAAATTATAAGCAGCACATGAGCAAATCTGTCTGACTTTCATAAAGAATTTCCTGCTTTTAATTTCTCTCAATAATATAAAGATATTTTTGCTTCTGAGTTTTAACAAGTAATCACTTGAAGTTAAGACATTTAACGTCTTCAGTAGACAGTACTATGTGCAAACTGTGTGGAATTGAATTACTATAGCTTCTGGGGTCAGGTCATATTTCACTATGAATTTTAAATGTGAGGAAGCTTTTTCTTTTTTTTTTTTAAGAGAAAAATCCTTATACCTGGTAAGATAGAAAAATACCTCCCCCGCCCCCATTTCTGCTATCACCTGTTTCCCACAGTAGACATCTGCTTTTTTTATAATATATTTTACCTATATTAAGCAAGAAAAACTCTCTAAAATTGTTACAACAGATTTAATGACACCAAACAGAATAGAAGAAAGAGAACTGCAGAATACTCTGAGGGCACTCATAAGAAGGCAGGTAGTATTTGATGAAAAGGTAGAAGCAACAAAGAGGTGACCAGTGGAGGACTGTTCCGGCACAGGGACGAAATTGTTCGTAACAGCAGTATTAGGACAGCAGACAGACTGTGAATTGAGAGTGTAACCTCAGGTAGAGGTGGGAGGGGAGGGGAGGAGACTAGGGGCAAGCGAGATCAGGGAGGTGCCCAGTGAAGTGAGGAAAGCAGGAGCGCTTTGGAGACCCTCTAAGATACTCAAAGTGACTGAGGAAGACCCAGAAGCAGTTTTCCTGAGTGTGGTATTTAGACCACCTGCATCAGAATCAAATGGAGAAAGGTGCTATAAAGGTAAATTACCTAGCCCCGTCAACAGAGATTCTGATTCATTCTATTTGATGTGAGGCTCAAGAAATCCGTATTTTTACAAGTACTCCAAATGATCTTAATGTACCACAGCCTTTGAGAATCACTGACCCGCCCCCAATTTGCGGGGAAAAGAAAACAGCACACGGCCAAAGTGCTTTTTCTCTTTCTTGGCTTAACCCATTCAGGCATTCACTCATTCACTCTCTGCTAAATAGCTTCTGAGTTACCAGTGTGCCTCAGTATTGTTAAAACTCAAGGTTTACGGGTCCTGCCCTTAAGGTTCTGATTCCGGGGATCCGGTTGGGGTTTAAGGCTGCATTTCAGTCAGAACCACAGGAAATCCCTACACCTTGAGAAGCACGGAGCTGGAGAGGGAACGTCAAATCATAAGCCCACACGGCAGTTGCTTTCTTTTCTTTCTCTTTTTGGGTCAAGACCACTTATCCATTAGTTCCTTCTTACCCCGAGAAAGACAGTATTACTTGGGGGGGGGGCCCTCTTCCCCCGGACGTGAGCTATCTCACCGAACAGTACAAAGCTAGACCGGTTGGAGAGCCGTTTCCGGTTACCTGGTACTCATTTTTGAACATTCCCGCCGGGGGCCCGGGGCTTGAGGGGCACCGGAATTCAGGGCTTCCAGAGAGTAGCGTGACCCTGACGGCTGGAAATCGGCGGGCGGGAAGCCAGGGCCCGACGGGCGGGGAAGGGCTTCGTGGCCAGCCCCAACTCGGTCAGGCTCTTCTCCGCCCTTTGTCAGCTCCACCTCGGGCCCCCAACCCGAACCATCGCGGCCCCGCCTCCGGGACGCCGGAGTCTGGGAGGGGACAGCTGCCTGGGCGGGCTCCGGGCGGCCCCAGGGGACTGAGCGTGTGCGTAACCTACGTGACAGAGAGCCCAGACGCTGAACCTCCGACAACCGCCCGCATGCTCACGGGAGAAAGGCTGGCGCGTTCTCGCCACCGCCCCGGCCCGCCTCCGAATCCGCTCGGAAGAGGGCCGAGCGGGGCGGACGTTCCGACCGCGCCCATTGGTTCCCACGAGGCGCCTGCGCGTGGCGCTGGCCGAGCTTCACGCCGACGGACACGTGAGACTACGCAGTGACGTAGGCGTTGCCCAGGCAACTGACCGTCTTTCGCTCAAAGCGTGGGACGCCCAACCTGTGACCAGCGCCCGCCCTAGGTCGTGACCTGTGTCTGCAAAAAAGCCTAAACTTAACCTGGCTTAAGAGCTACCACAGGTGCTGGATTCTGCTAGAAAACCTGTCACGTCGGCTTGGTCTCTCTTCGTTGTAAACACTGATAACTGGTAGGTTGCTGAAGGAAATGGAGTCGTGGAATCATGGAACCCTCATGGAACCTTTCGCTCGAGGTTCCCAAACTTGGCTTCGTTGAGGCACTGATAGGGTCCGCCATCCCCTTTCATTGTTTCAGAAGGCCCAAGGAAGGTCACTGCACACTTCAAAAAGCCAAGGTTTTTGCCCAAATTAATAACTACATACGTTATTGAGCCAGGCGCTCTGTTAAGTTTAACTGGTTCTGTGTCTGAACCACTTTTACAGTGTAGGTGTTATCGTCCATTTTTGGCTAAGAAACTGTGGCTCCGAAAGGTAAAATATTTTGCCTAAGCTCGCATGGCCAGTAAGTGATGGAGCTGGTTTGGAGCTCGTACCTAACTCAAAGCTGAGTTAGGTCAGTGGCTCAGGGTTAATCAGTAGTCAGGTACCACTCCTGGGGCCCTTGCTGTAGGCCAAGTGGTTCACAACCCTGTGAAGTAAGGGTTAGTCTCCTTTCAGTTGAGATCACTGAGGTTCTGAGTCGATTAGGAATTTACTCAAGGATGCAGTATTGATTTTTGTTTGTGGCACCATGGATCATGTACAGGATGAGAAAATGAATGCTTTCTGGACCTGCTTCTTGTCAGGGCTAAGAAGGAAAGATAAGGAACAAATTTACTTGAATACACTAATACTGGATGTGTACAAGATAGAGGTGGGGCTCTCACATAGCTGTAAATTGCAGTACAATATCTAGAATTCAGACTTGGTTTCTAGAGCTCAAACCTAGTTCAGCAACAGTTTTTGGCAGGACTCTGCTGGGGGCTTTGGGAATTATGGTCAGTAGACATGGTGTCTATCTTGTTATCTAATAGGGGACATTTATCCATCCATTCATTTAAGAGAGAACTCTTAGTAATGTAGTATATTCCAGACACTATACTAAGAGCTAGGTGTATAGAGAAGGCCCCCCATCTTCGTGTAGCTTGCATATTCATGGGGCAAGGCACAATAAAGAAGTGAACAAACAAATAATTACAACTTGTGATAAATGCCATGGATCCAGTGGTAGGAATTAACATTGGAGGGTATATTAGTTTCCCGTGGCTGCTGTAACAAATTGTCACAAGCTGGGTGGCTTAAAACAGCACAGATTTATTCTCTCACAGTTCTGGAGGCTGGAAATCCAAAATCAAGGTGTCAGCAGGGTAGCACCCCCTTTGGAGGCTTTGTAGGAGAATCTGACCTTTGCCTCTTCCATCTCTGGTGGCTATTGGCATCCCTTGACTTGTGGCTGCGTCTCTTAAATCTCTGCCTCCGTAGTCACAGTCCCTCTTCCTCTTCTGTGTGTGTCTTTTCCTCTGTGTATCTCTTAAAAGGAGAGTTGTGATGGCATTTAGGGCCTACTTGGATAATTCAGGGTAAACTCCGTATTTCAACATCCTTAATTACATTGCAAAGACCTTTTTTGCCAAATAAGGAAGCATTCACATGTTCCAGGGGATAGATGTAAATATCTTTTTGGGGGGAGGCATAGCATTTTTGGATGATGCAAGTCAACACAAAGGATGACTTGCACTGTAATATAAAGTAGTCTTTCATAAATACTATAAGAGTGGGAAAAAGTACAGTGAGAGTACAGGAGGAATCTAGGGAACATCCTAAGGCTTTTAACAATATAGTTGAGTCTCTGAACGTATTTTGACACCACAGATGAAGAGAAACCCTGAATCTTTGTCCTATGCTATTTTCTTTCTACTCCTCATCATTATATGAATTTATTTATTTATTTGTTTATCACCTATCTTCACCTGTTAGAAGGTAAATTCTATGAAGGCGAGGACTTCTGCGTTCATCATTATTTCCCATGTCCTAGAGTAATGCTTGGTACATAGTAGATATTTTATAAAAACATATTTATTGATCAAATTAAAGGCACCTGTCCTTTTGAACTCACCATGTCCAAAACAAAACTCCAAACATGCGCCTTTCTTATCTTTCCCAATCTCACTAATATCACAGTGCCTCCTGCTTCCTCACTAGCTGCAATGGGCAGCCTCTAAAATGGCCCCCAATGATCTCCATCTTCTGGTAGGCATGCCCTTTGTGTAATCTTCTCCCCTTGGGTATGGACTGAACCTAGTGACTCACTTCTTATGAATACAATACGGCAAAAGTTCCGAGATGTTATTTCCATGATAAGGTTACAAAAAGACTCTGATTTCCTTCTTGCTTGCCTTGTTTCACTCTGATATCCTTGCTTGCTCTGGTTTTTCCCCCTCCCATCCCCCAGCTTCCCCAGTCCTCACTCTGAAGGAAGCAAGTTGCTGTGTTAGCCCCTTGGAGAGGTGCAGGTAGTAAGGAACTGATGTCTCTGGCCAACAGTCAGTGAGGACTTGAGATTTGTCAACAGCCACATGAGTGGGCTTGGAAGTGACTCCTTCTCTGGTTGCACCTCGAGGTGACTGCATCCCTAGTCGACACCTTGATTGCAGCTCAGTGAGCCTGGGTCAGAGGCACCCAGCTAAGTCATACCCTGATTCCTGACCCACAGAAATTATGAGATAATTATTGTAAATTGCTAAGATTTAGGGTAATTTTTTACACAGCAATATATCTACTGCTAATATACTTCTCATACTCAATCCATTACCCAAACCTATTCATTTTATCTAAATACTTTAAAAGTCTATCTACCTTCCCTCCACTGTTATCTCTACTCTGATTTACCTGTGATCTTCTCTTCTCTGAACTACTATAATATCCCCCTAATTTACACACCATGTCAGCCACCTTTCAAATCTATCTCCACGTTGCAGTCAGTCATCTTTATAAAACACAAATTCAATCATATCGGTCCCCTGATTCTAACCCTTTTGTGACTATAGAGGCTGGCTTCCTCTCCAGTTTCATTGTACAGTATGTGGCCCCCTTCATTTTAGTAACATTGAGTTTTCTTATAGTTCTTCATGTATAACATGTTTGCTTCCACCATAAGGCCTTTGTACTGATCTCTTGCATGGATTACTTCTGCTCCCTTCTTTCTTTGGTTAAGGCCTACTTATCCTATAGAGTTTACATCAAGGGTCTCTTTCTAAGGGACTCCTCTGATATCCCTGACTAGATCAAATCCCCGGTTTATATGTTCTCATAGCATCTTAGCTCTTAGTATTATTGAAATCATTATTGAAATTTTATATGTCTATAATATTGGCCATCTCTAATGGACTGTAGATTTCAAGAGAGCAGGGACCATGTCTGTTTTGTTTACCCTTGAATCCCTCGTGCTTCGTATACTACTTCAACTGTGTACCTGGCATAACAAAATGGTAATTGAGTGAATGAGTGAATGCAAGTGGGAGGAGGTGAAATATGAATATATTCTTAAAAGACAGCCATAGGTTTTGGTGTTGAGAAAACAAGGAAAAAGCAATTAAAACATATTAAATTACCTCAATTTATTGATAGAAAAACTAGTTACAGAGTTGAAGTGATTAACCACAGTGTATCAGTAAGTCTTATTACTCAGGTGTTTTGTTTTAAAAATGACCTGTTTATTCAATTTAATGCTGGAAAGAACCAGTAAAATTTACTTCAGTCTCCTTAATTCCTTGAGAGAAAGGATTGTCCAAGGCCCAATTGTCCAAGGGTTGGGTCATCTCCTAATCCTCCTAACTCATAACAAGTTCGGGAGACTTACAGTTGGATTTTCGTTAGCGAGTGTGGTATCGGGCCTGTCCAGGCATAGGACAACTCTGAAGGCAGCCCAACTTAGATCAAAGTTGTTTTGTCTATGGCGAGAACTACGCTTAACACTGACAGTGGTGGCTATAAAGCAGAAATAAGCATGTGCCCTACTTTAACAATGTGAACTCAAAAGCAGAGGTAGGAAGAGATTTGATTTTATAGTACCAAATACTCTTGTTTGATGTGGATGAATGCAAGCTGTGACCAAAAACTTGGATTTGGCTATGACTTCAAGAATGGCTACTAGAATTCAGCACCACCCACTCACCCTGACTCTCAAACCCCGAAAAAAGCCAGCCTGCTCAAACAACTTTGCTTAAGCCAAGTTTTTTATGTACCTTATAAATGGCAGTGAAACAGTTTCTCTAATTGCTACAATTTTTAAAGAAGTTGGTTTAAAGTGCTTGTCTTTGTTCTACAAAGAAAGTAATTTGGCGGTGTATTAATATTATTAAAGGATATTGAATAGTATTTAAAATGGAATAGACTAGAAACAGTTTTAAAGGGTGACAGTCTTTGTATGACAATGTAGTCATTCAAGTTAGATATTATGGTTATTAATTTGACAAG